AGACCCCTAGTCTAAGTGAGAGGACGGCCTCTCAACCTAACCTAACCTATTTAGACCCTGCCAGAAATAAATTGGATTCATCAGGTAAATTCAAAATCTTATTTTGCATGGCGTACGTCTTTTTATAGCCGCGGCTGTAAGTAATTTCTTTGCATATACAATATACATAAGTGCGCATGTACAGTGACTCAATCAACTAACCACGTGTTAACTTTTTTTTTAATTTTCACGATTCTTTTGTTATTTTTCTATAAAAATATTATGCAAGATTTAACCAAAATATAAATAAATATATAAATCAACATTTTTCTAAATGCACTGCATGAAAATGTTCCTAAATTTTGTATAAATTTGAAACTTTTATTTATATGGTTTTGGCCGAAGCTTGGACAATATTTTTATATAGAAAAAAACAAAAAAAAAAACAAATATTTTGAAAAACATTGAGAATTAAAAAAAAAAATCAACACGTGGTCACTTGTTTGAGTCACTGTATATACAAACACCTATACTCGCTACAATAGACACATTTTACTCTGAATTCATTCATTCAAATCGATCGAAAGCTGAAATTTCATTGTTAGTACAAAATGAAGAAGCAAAAGTGAAGTGAAAGGAGTGTAAAGGATCAGGCGAATATCCTGCAAAATCGAAGCAACAATAACACTTTGGAAACAATTGCGCAGTCCGTGTGTCAGCAGCCAATTTGCCTTTCGGAACCGACCGTCTGCCTGCATAAAGGTAAGTAAATATATGTCATACATACATACATATTTATGTATATATATATAGACGTCAGTACTAATCTATGGAGGTGTGCTTGTTTGTGAATTTTTTGCGCTAGGACGCTACTTTTTGGCGCGAGGGTTAAGCACAACGCGGCAGAGCAGCGGTGAAATATATTTTGCGGCTGGTGCAATGACGACGCAGATTGGGATGCGCTGGCGAAAGGCGCTAACCACATACAAACATACATATTTTGATAGCTGCATACCTGGTGTTTTAAGGGTGCATGCGGGGTGGCTATGGAAGTATGCAGAAAGCGGGGAGGTAATATTTGCAGCATGTATAGCAACTACTAAATACCTTAGTTTGGTAGTTTAAACGTAAAAGTACTGAAGCCTGCCCATTACTTTGTGTGCCTTTTAGGGGGATGGGATTAAGACTGCGTGAATTAAGGCCGCCTTCTTATATCTTCGGCGGCGTAATATCATTTTTTGATCGTGGTCTTATTTCACTTTTCAGTTGAATTATTTCTGCGCAAAAATACTGTGGCGTAGTCGGAGTTGGACTGATGAGGTTTACGTTTTCTAAGCGCGGCCGAAGGCAGGCAGCGCGGAAAGGTGCCTGAGTTGGACTGATAAGGGATATTTTATATACTATATGCACATATAATTAATATATATGCGCCTATTAATATTATCGTAGTATTTCCAGTGGCAATTTATTGATCGTAAATCTGCTAATATTAAAACAAAATCACTTTTTGTCCTTGAATTCGTTAATAATTTGCCACAGAAAAGCAATTCGCATCTCCAAACGCATGTATACTATATGTAAATACTCACACAAACACATCTTAGTACGCCAACAAGTAGCGTTCTCTATATATATATCTTTCGCATGCTCACCTGCCATATTTCACCGCTTAGTTCCGGCATCAGAGGCGCCTTCTTCCGGTCAAGTGGTACGCGCGCTTATAAATAAACATTAAAAATATGTATGTACTTACGAAAATAGAATATTTATAACGAGCGCAAAAAATAGCAGTCATAACAGCGCGTATGCACACATAAACAGAACAAAAAAGGAAAAAAATGCTACTCGGGGGCAAAAAACGAAAGCGCGTTGCTGTGCCATTTACGCTTAAGAATATATATGTATGCATATAAATATATATATATATAACAAATATACACGCTGACTACTGGGCAATTGGCGAAAGAACAGAGGAAAACAAAAACATTTTTTATGAGTTTGCAAATTTTTACAAGACAACAAAAAAGTAAGCTCCTACTAAAAACGCGAAACACGCGAGCAAAACAAAAGCGGTATTGTTGTTTACAACGCGCGCAGCACGTTTCCGTCGAAAATTAGCGCATGCAGGCAGAGAACATAGCATACAGCCATAGAACGTGTATTATTATAATGATTATTATTATACATGTTCTCTGAAACAAGTCGCAGACTAGCATGTTTGAATGTTCGGCGAGCGTGCGAACATGCAACATGCAACGCTGAGAGAAATTCGAATTCAACAGTGTTGCCTTCCGTCGGATAAAGGGCGAATATGTAATAGGACGGCGTTAACAGCGCACTTAGTAACAGAATTTTAAGCAGAAGATAGTCGGGTATTTTTTGGAGCGAGTGAGTGCAATGAAAAGTTACGCTGAAGCAACCGCATCTAAAAGTTTTCACTTTTCACAACAGCAATAGCAATAGCGCAGTTAGTACTATTCGCTTATTCCAAACCAGCGGTTTGTGCAAACCGCACGCCTTTACTACACTCACAAGCAGCCCTGCTACGTGCGAGCACAGCCCGCGATGAGTGCAAGTGAGATGCATATAACCGTGCTGTCGCACGAACGAGTGGAACATGTTGGATGCGAGATACTTTGGCAATTGAACAATCTCGAATTGGTCGGCCATTAATGTGCGGAAGAACGTAAATTTTTTCATTCGTATTTTGAACGTTTAAAAGGGAAGTTGTGTTTTGTCCGTTTCGTAGTGATTTTTACACACACACACTAATGTGTACATTTATATGTGTGCGTGTGTGTATCTAATATTTTTTTATAATTGGCGCGTAGCAATGAAGAGAAAATCTTAAATTACATTAGAAATTACAAAAGCGCCAAGTGACTAACTAAAGGAAATTGCAGTACCTACATACATACATACATACATACATAGTAAACGTTAAAGAACAAAGAAGTCGCGACAGAAAAATTGCATTGAGTACAGTGTAAGCGCAAAATAAAATGTATAATTAAAATACAAAAAATATGTACAAAGTGAGAATTTTCCACCACGACCATGAAAAACGCCAAAGTACGTCCATATTACATACTACATACATATGTATGTACATATCTACATACTAGCATCAAGTGACAAAGCTTAATATACTTCAATAGAAAAAAATCAATAAAAGAAAAACGAGGAAAGTAAGAAAATTTTTCAAAAAATCACATACAGTGAAAATACATTTACATATACGTACATATACGTGTAATAATAAGCGCATTACATGCATGCTTTATCAACGTAATATCGAAAGAGAAAAAATCGCATACAAATCCATAGTCGAAATGGCACCCTGCCAAGTGCATCCAGTTATAATTCATACGAGAGCAGTGCCGTCAGCGCTAGAACTGCTCCGGTGCGTCCCACTGGCAGTGTGCGCCGAAATCTCTTCGGTCAGCCGGATCAACGCGAAATGGTGCGCACTTTCGACAATGAAAATGCACGTCAACGCAAACGTTTGGATAATTACAAAATTATTGAACCATAGCGCAAAGCAAAGAAATCAACACAATAAGGAGACGGAGCCTAGCAATGAATCTTTCCCTGGTTTGATCGCCAAGGAGTTGGAGGCACACGAAAAGGAAACGCAAAAACAAAATTTAAAACAAAAGAGTAGTGGCGAAGCGTCGTCGTCGTCGTCGTCGTCGTCGTCGCTGAGTCAACGCCAGGAGCAGATTGAGATGACACCAACATTGTCGACAAAGGCTAAATTAAGAACGCTCCACACTAACAGTCGCGCCAACAGCGATGCGGCCACCGAAGATACGCGCTACAGGCCTTACATCAAACAGACGTTAATTACTGGTGAGTGAAATTAAAAATAAAAAAACAAAAAAATTGAATCTCTATTGTCATTAAAGCTAGTGTTTTCACTTCATTAATTTAATACAAACATGTGCATATGTATGTATGTGCTTAGTTGCACATGAGTGGGGTAACTCTCATAGCACCTGATTCTTCATTTCATTTCCGTTTTCTTTGTGCGCGGCGACTTCCTTGCAAGGACGTATGAAGTAGTGTGTGAAGTATTTAGGTACATGCTTGTGTATTTTTTTGTTTTGTTTTTGGCTTGTTAAATTTCCGATTGGATTTGCCCGCAGCGTCACCGGAAAGTGTGCAAACTCTGCTTGGCGGTAAAATTTGTTCAATTTCAACCCCTATTGCGTAATCGAAAGTGCAGTGTTGCCACGACAAAATTTGCATTTGCGCTGGCAATATGGAGTTTTTTTTTCAGAAGACGCATGTGGAACCACCCTAGAGCTGCATGCTAGAGATATTAAAAATGCATCATTTCCAAAAGGATTACGGCAATTATTTTATTTATTCCAATAAAAGGAAAATTTTCTCAGTCCAAAAGAGGCATAGAAAATTCTAAAAGTAAAAAATAATACGAATTCTTTTAATGAACATCTTACTCGTATGGTATCTTTATTTTTTTAATATTTTGTTCAATTCAACGATATTTGGCATTAATATAACACAACTTTTCTAGAATTGCCCTAGAAAGATATCGGCCCCTTTACGTGAAATTATATTTTGTGCCAAACACCAAATTTTACAAGAATGCGTTTATTTTGAGTTTAAAATTTTTAGATTTTTTTTTAATTATTATTTTTTTAACCAACATCCCGATGAGCTAGAGACTAGAGACTTAAAACTTAGCTCAGAACCCCATTACAAAACAATATGAAAGATAAATGAAGCGGGGGTCGATTTTTTATTAGCCACTAATAATAGCTTGTCTTAAAAAAAATGTTTTTAAATTAATATCGCCAAAAAAAAAATCATTGTAACATACGATAAAATTTACACGATATTTTTTGCGTACCTATAGGCGTTTCAGCTATAATAATTTACCAGTCAAAAAAGTCAATTTCAAAAAAATTTCGCTGAAAGGGATCGATTGATATGTAGTCACATAAAAAATAATAAAACTTTTGTACACTAAAAATTGTGGGAGGTGAACGGTTTGATTTTAAATTTTGAGAAAACATTGAGTTATCATCATACTTTATAGCTTAACAGATTGAAGTGTGGGCTACACGATAGCCAACCATCCGAAGAATAGAAATTCTTTTAGGTCGTTCTTGAATGATAAGTTGTCGGGTTTTTTTAAAAGTTTTGTAATTTATTTGCAACTTTATTTTGCAGCTTTTTCACAGAAATGAAGCACCATACATATATTGTATGAGAACAAATTTATTGCTACAGGCAACTTACACTTTCTACTAGCATTATTACAATCAATATTTTAAACTTGCCTTGCTCTATCAGGCAAAGATATTGCTACGAAAAGAAAAACCTATCGAAATAGCAAAACGTTTTTCATGAAGCATTCTAGTTTATGTACCTATAGGGCAACCAAGTCTTGTAACGCTATATGCTTGTATGTATGTATGTATATGTTTATGTACCTACCTTTGGTTAAATCTTAATCTATTAATGTGCACATGTCTTTCTATATAAAATTTGTAGATTCACACAGATATTTTTTTTTTTGGCGCGCATTATACAAGAGCCTGTATACATATGTCATACATAGATACATACATACGCATTTGCGTTTATATTTATTTCACATTTAGGTATATGTACATACATTTAAAAATTTCTATCCCTTTACACTGCACACAATAAAATCTCATTCCTTTGCAAGGTGCATTCACCGAGATTTTATTTGTAGCCATAAATACATATATACATACGTGTGTATATATCCACACATATATTCGGCGCATTTTCATTTGGGCGCCAAAAATTTTAAATAGTTTTTATGTGTGCATAAGTTTTGGTGCTGCTTATCCGACTTCAGGTGTCCTCCTTTCATTTTCAAATTCTACTTACATATATACATATGTATCTATGTATACATATGTATGTATATAAAGACATTTTCGATTTTATTTGTACATACGTACAATTGCCTCTTCCTATGACACTTGACGTAGGCCATAGTTTTTGAAATTCTTTGGTGCCTATACAAAATAACCCAGTAAACATTTGGAGTTATAAATGAGATTTTCTAGATTATACATGGGATATTTAAAATCATTTCAAACCATTTTTGAGACTCTTATATGAAGTAAGTTCGATATTTTTTTTAAAGAAAATAATAGCACCGTCCGTAAAAAAAAAATTTTAAAAATCATAGCAATTTTTTAACAACTTCAAACTTGCATGCCTCTAATTTTCCAACGGAACTTTATTAAAAAGGTGCAAGTTTGTATGCACATTCATTCAATTTTCCTGAGTTTTGCACGCAGTTTATAGTTTTTATTTTTATGTTTTTTTAGTAGTAGTATGAACTATATTTATATACAAAATTATCGAAAAGAAGTTATATAAAATTATTCATAATATTTATAACATATTTCAAAGGGTTTGATTGGTAATTTTTGAAATTTTACGATGTTTTTAATTTTCATAATTTTAGATACTTCAAAATGTTAAAATTAAACGGTGAAAATGTTTTCTTGCCAAAACGAACGAACCTTGTGTAATAAAACTAAAGTGTTACCAAATGGAAAAAAATTGCATTGAGTAAAAGATTACTGTTATTTAAGAAACTAAAATTCCATTTTTACAATTTTTTGGTCAAACTCGAAATTCATTCTAAAACTCTTATATATGTATATATAATATATAAGTATGTGCATAAGAATACTATGTAAAAATCTGCCATGCCAATATTTAATTACCTTAAAATAATGAGTTTTAAAATAAGCGCGTATGGCGCTATACGTATACGTTACATACGCAGCTACGGGTATATGAGCATGAGTGGTTATTTTTATTTTTTTTTAGTATATCCCAAGGTACATTGAACAGGTAGTATCAGTAGAGCAGCTGATTTGATTTATTTTCAAATTATTTGGTCTCGAAAATGTCAAATATTTTTAATTTTTTCTCACGAAAATTATAAGTTGTTAAAATCCATTTGCTTGTTCATGGACCAATCTAACGTTTCAAATAAAGAACCGATGAGATTTTGCAAATTTTATGCGTTTTTTTTAAAAAAAAAGTTATCAAGCTCTTAAAAAATCACCCGTTATAAGAGTCACACATTTTTCGTTTTTC